TATTTGGGTCAAGAGAATTGGAGATTGTTATTTCTGGAGAGGCTCGAGGTTGAGAAGGGCTCCAGGGCTGGACTCTGGACTCTGATCCAGAATTTTACACAGTATAGAGTTGATTGCTTTTCTTTTTTTCCTTATAGCCCTAAAACCTTTACAACCTACAGGAACTGAATTACTTGGACAAGTGAGGCTTTCCTCGATGCTCATGGGAGCACCATGGGTGCTCGTGAAAAATGAAGCAACTTGCCTGACCACAGCTTGGGACAATGTTCCATATGTCGACACTGATGAAGATTTCCTGGGCTAGTATGGAAGATGTCTGGAGCTGCTTACAACCTTTATGCTTCTAATTAATTGCAAGGATTACAGATGGATATTATTTTTAATATGGTTTCCTACCAGCTGTTTATGTCTTGCTTCTAGAGAGTTGTTTGCTGTTTTGCCATGACATTTCCCCAGTATACTGTGAATAGATCTTTTGTGTTGCCAGCACAGTGCTAAGGAGAAATCGCTCTACCCTCGAAGTATTTAACGGTATATTTGACAACTGGGTCTTTTTGGAAGGTGAAGTGCAGAGAATAATAATGGCCTGTCCTTTGAAATTTTGCCTAATAGTGCAGTAAACTGGAAATAAAAATCTGCTTGGCTTCTTTTTAAGGTAGCACAAGTGTGTGCCACAGCTTTCCTATGAAAATAAGTAATCTCATTAGGAAAGTGTTAATTCTCTCAAGCCCCAAGGTGATATTCAGAAGGTATTCTAATAAGGCACCCAAGGAATCTAACTTATTAGGTATAGGAGGTCACACATTTGTCCAAGTCGGTTTTGTTGTGAAATGAGTGTTCTTATAAGGTGCTAAGTTTTTGTTTGTGAGTAGTAACAAAAGTGACCCAACAATATTCTAGTACTTACATAATCCACAATCTCTTTGCCATCCAGCTATTGCAACTTTTTTGTAGCATCTCATACTACAGGCTGTCCCAAAAGTCTTAATGCATCTAAATTGCACTAAGACTTTGGAAACCCTCTGTTGAGTGTGATTCTTGGAGACTTTTTGGAACACTCTTCCTGTGGCTTCCCATAAATCTTGCATAAAACTCCCATCAATTGGCCTGAAGACTTTGCTTTGGTTCATTTGCATTTCATGGGTAAGCAATGTAGCATGAAGCCTGTTTGTGTCTTACCTTCTACACTTACTACATGACCAGCCCACCTATTTTTTCCAGACATACATATATTTAGTGATATCTGATATGTGACTTCATGTCCATATAACATTCAAATATGCATGCACTTAGAGAATAAGTAGTCTCCCTAACTTCTTTCATTCTCTTTGTTTTTCAGGTGTGAGTCTATGTGCACAGTTAGACCAGTCTTTTTAAATGATGATATCTGGGTCAATATAAGCCATGAAATTATGCATTCTCTATATACTCCAAGTATACAGGGTGTTCCAAAAGTCTTAGATCAGTATTAAGCTATTTAAAGTGGTTAAAATTCCACTAAGCACTGAGACTTTGGAGCTACCTTTTATAAATAGCATGTTTAAAATGCCTTATAATGATTTAAAGAAGAATTCTTGGGGATGTTTAAATGAGAATGCTATTTTAACTGTCATTGTCAGTGAATCAGAGGATCATAAGAGGTAGGGCAAGAAGTTGTAACTTATTCAAGGTCACACAGGTAGTGAGCTGCCAAGCTAGAATTTGAACTAAGTTCTTCTGACTCTAAATCCACTGTGTTTTTTTTCCCATTATACCACACTGCCTGCCTCTTTGATATTACTGTCTCTGTTAAAAAATTGGGACTTCATTTATTTGAAGGAAATTAGACTTTATCTAGGCTGGGATATGTATCCAAGCTAAAATATAGAGTATGTGATCTGACTTGAGTCTAATCTCCCACGAATTCCAAAATCCTTCATACAGTATTCCTTACAGATGATCATGTATTCTCTATACCTCCTCAGAGGGATCTAATGACCTAACAAGGCAATTGGTGTCTTTTAGGCAAAGTTTTAGTTGCCTGTTATTCAGGAGAGACTAAATATGCCCACTTTCTCTCTGAATGAATGAATGAGCATTGATGGAACACTTACTATATCCAAAGCACTGGGGTCACAAATTGCAAAGTATGACAGTTTCTGTCCTCGAGGAGCTCACTTTCTAATGGTGGAGATAACACATGCAGAAAGTTTCAGGTGAAAGGTGGAATGGTCCCATAGTTCTCATAGGATGGAGCAGTAAAGCACACGGAGAGAGAATGAATGAATGAATGAATAAATGAATAAATGAATGAATGAATGAATGAATGAATGAATAGAAGGTGATTTCAGAGAAGAGAAGGCAGAAGCAGCTGGGGGGAGGGTAAATATCAGGAAAGGCTATGTGTAGGAGATGTCACCTGAGCTGAGCTTTGAAGGAAGCTGAAGATCCCAGTAGGTAGAAGTGAGGAGGGATGGAAAGTACAAATGCATGGACATGGGAGGAGGGATGTCTATTATAGTGGTCTAAAGTAGAAGTGATGAGGGCCTGAAGAAGGGTGGTGGGTATGTGAATCTAGAGAATAGGGTGGATGTTGTGGAGGTGGAATCAATAAGTCTTAGCAGCTGGTTGAATGTTGGGGATGGAGATAGACTGCAAACCTGAGTGACTGGAACAATGGTGGTACCCTCATCATAAATGGTGAAGTTTGGAAAGGAGTGATTTTGGAGGCGGGGGGGAAGAGTGAGTTCTGATTTGGATGTGTTCAGTTTCAGATGCCTACAGAACATCTATTTAGAAATGTCCAATAAACAGTTGGTAATGCAGAACTATAGCTCAGGGGAGAGAGAGAGTAGGACTATATAGAAAGAACTAAGAGTCAGTCATTTATGTAGAGAAGATAATTAAATCCATGGGAGCTGAATAGAGCAACATTAGAGTAAATATGGAAGTCCAGGACACAGCATTAGGAAATACTAGAGCTGGAAAGATGTACATTGACAGTGAATCAGCAAAGAAAACTGCATAGTGACAAAGAGGTAGGAGAACCAAGAGAGGACAGTGTCCAAAACAGTACCCCCCCACACACACACAACCAAAGGGAAAGAATGAAAAAGGTTTTCAACAATTTTATAGTCTTCTGAGAGAATAAGAATGCTGAGGACTGGGAAAAGGCTAATATGTTTGACAATGTTTGAATCTTTAGTTTCTTTGGAAAGACCCATTTCAGTTGAGTGATAATGTGGAAAGCCAGATGGCAAAGAGTGGAGAAATAAGTGAGAGAAGTAGAACTCACAAGCATAGATAGCTTTTCCTTGGAGTTTGGCAGTAAAAGAGAGGAGAGATATAGAATAGTGGCCCAAGGATCAACGGTCCAATATGTTAGTTAGTTAGTTTTAAGGATGAGGGGGACAAGCATGTTTGAAGACAACAAGGAAGGAGTCAGCAAATAGAGAGATTAAGATTAGAAGTGGGCATCATTGTAAAGGGAATCAATTGGGGAAGATGAGAGGGAGTAGAATAAAAAGGGAAAGTAGAGGGCTTAACCTTGGCGCGAAGTCTCTTCAGAGACTAATGTAAAGAGATATAGAATAAAGGATAATGTCAGTGGTGTTATGAGAAATAAAGGAGGGGAAGGGAGAGATCATGGTACAGGTTTATTGTATTCATTTTCTTAATAATGTATTAGGCAATGTGCCCTGCTTAGAGCAGCGGTTTTTAACCTGAGGTCCATGTATAGGTTTCTGGATGTCCATAAACTTGGATGGGAAAAAAAAAATTCCAATTTTATTTTCCCTAATCTCTGAGTGAAATTTAACATTTCCTCCAGTTATGAATGTAGGCAAAAAACATTGTTCTGAGAAGAGATCGGTAGGTTTCATCACACTCTGAAAAGGTGGGGCATGATACTCACAAAAGCAAAAAATTAAGAATCCTTGGCTTATTGGGTGAAGAAGGGGGTGGGATAAGAGGATTGAGGAAAGAAGAAAAGGTTTGTGACAGGAATATGATAAAGACTCAGTTGAGGGGGGAGGGGAGTAAATGGATTTCCTTGTGCCATTGCAGGCCCAATTGAGACAAAATAATACAAATATGTTATGGATCCACTCAACATATTATGAGACTTCCTGTAGTACCATTTAGCAGCATGTGATTGGGAGCAGAGGAGTCAGATTGTGGGACTGTGTCACATATCCACACTCATAGTTGACAAAGGTCTTTGATTTCATTTTCTTCTGATTTTTTAAAAAATGGTGTGACCTTTAATATTCACTTAACACACCCATTCAAGGCTTGTGGTTTTGACTTTTCATTGTCTTTCACCTCAAGCATCCAATCAGTTTCCTGGTCTTCTTAAGACTACTCCCACAGCATCTTCTATACCCTTTTTACATTTCAGGTCTTCTCATAGGTCACTACTCTTTTGTAACCCTTTCTCACCTTTCTCCTAGATTATTGCAGTATCTTCCTAATTGGTCTTTGTGCCTTAAATCTCTCTCGTTTTCCATTGATCATGCACACATATGTCAGTGATAACTCTAAAGCACACATCTGAGTCTGCCACTGTTTTTTAAAAATCTATGTTGCTGGAGAGAATTTCTTTATTGGTTAAATCACAGTTTCAGACCAAACAAACAAATGCATAAGTTAATGACTAAATAAATGCCATATTGGATGAGTTACAGGAAAATACATGGTGAGGCAGACTGTGGACTGTGGATGCAATATTATATTCATTTGCTTGAATAGGTCAATTGTTATGGATAGACACAATGGAATAAGCATATAAGGAAAGGGAGGAATACAATAGAGGAGTTTAATAAATAGCACAATGAAATCAGAAAAATGGAGCTTGACACAATATTATTCTGAAGGAGAAAAAAATATTTATGTGATAAATACTTTAGCTGTTTATGGTTCTGCTGTGAAGGTAGCAGATGGTTCAGTTATCGTGTTTAACAGAGAAAAAAGTATAATGACTTCATTAAATTCGATGGTACCTGTGTTTCTTCCCTCATTAGGACCCCAGAAGTAAGCACAAGTTTAAAATCCACACATATGGAAGCCCTACATTTTGTGATCACTGTGGCTCACTGCTCTATGGACTTCTACATCAAGGGATGAAATGTGACAGTAAGTTTTCCATTCATGTCAATTATATTAGTCTATTAGATAATGAAGTCATAAAATAATGAATTGTTCCTATTTTAAGAGGAATTACTTCCCTTGCAGGTTGCAAAAGGTCCCCTAGGAGTATTGAGTTATGAAGATCATATTTATTAAGTAATTAGGATGTGCAGTGGGACAGCCAGGTAGTACAGTGGATAGAGCACTGGGCTTGGAATCAGGAAGATTCATCTTCATGAGTTCAAGTATGACCTCACACTTAGCTGTATGACCCTGGGCAAGTCATTTCACCCTGTTTGCCTCAGTTCCTCGTCTGTAAAATGAGCTGGAGAAGGAAATGGCAAACTACTCTAGTATCTTTGCCAAGAAAACCCCAAATGGGATCACAGAGTTAGACATGATTGAAACAACCCAACAACAACAGTAGAATGTGCAGTGGACAATACTAGTCAATAAGGGCTTTTAAAAAGAAAATAGGAGCTTATTGTATTTTGATACCAAACTTAGTGTGAACACCTGACAGGCTTTTACCCACTGCTGCTCAGAACTCCTGAGCTGAAGTGATCTGTCAGTCTCAGCCTTCCCCATAGTAGGATTACAAGTGCGCACTTTTTATTTATTTATTTATTCCTAACTTTTTATGTTTTTCTGCTGGCTCAAACCACTTGGAACATGCCAGAAACAATTAGTAAATGCACAAAGTTAAAAATATATACTCTGTTGAGATACAGATGCAGATATATGTTCTCTGAGGTAAAGAGGGTCCTTTGCATTTTACTTATAAGGCTGAGCTTTTTTCCTGTGTATTTAAAGTTGAACTTTTTTATATGACACCATTAATATAGAGAGTGAGCTCAGTCATAAACCTAACTGAAAAGGGCAGAATCTCTGGTGCTTTGAATTTCAGAAATTATTAAATTAATTCATTAATTATGAGCCAAACATATTCCCTTTTATATATATGAAGATGGTTCTCTTTAATTTTTTTAGCCAAATAACAGAACTTGGTCAGATAGCTTGATGTGTTCTTTTTTAAGTAAATCAAAATCATTTGTGACCTCAGGAATATGGGTAGTCCTTCTACCAACATAGATCCCATTCCCTTTGTGTCTTTGTAGATAAGTGCATTAGTTGTTAAGCCCTCCCCCTGCACCCTCCCCACCCCACCCCACTGCCAAATACATCCTCTAGTGGTCAGCTTTCTAATAATGAATCTCTCAAAGCTTAGCTGAACTAGTCATCAGATGATGGTCAATCATCAAATCTATACTGAAAGATTTTTCCATTATACTTTGGTGGTACCACCCTTTAAAACTTAGTGTCTCCTCCAAAACTTGATGAGTTATTTGAGTAAGCCTCATAGAAGAGTTTTAAAGTTGGCTGCTCATATAGAGTAAACTTTTCATTATGTGTATAACCAGACATTTTATAACTTTAGATTCCACATTTATTTTCAGTTGAATTCTCCAAATAGTTATTACTAGGACTGCAAAGATGAAAAATGCAATAGTCTTTGTACTCAAGGAACTTACAGTCTATGAGGAAGAAAACTGCATGCACATACACAAATATATATGATACAAGGTGGAATGCAGTAGGGGCAGATTAGAGTCTCAGAAGAAAAGAAAAAGTATGCTTAAAAAATTCAAGGAGGATGAAATCATTTTCACCTAGAATGTATTTTGGAAATTTTCATAGTGATGGTACCCTCTGATCCCCTTAAAGGAAAAGAAAGAATTTTATCTGGTGAAGATGGGAGTAGGAGTGTGTTATAGTAGTAGCTTGTACAAATGCACAGAGGAGGGAAAGTACATGATTGTATAAAATTAGATAACAGTAGTTCTTTTTAGTAGGAACATAAAAGGTACATTACCTGATGGAGAATAATATGAAATAAGACTGTAAAAGTAAGTTTGAACTAGATTGTGAAGGACCTGAAATGCTGAATTAAGAATTTTTCAATGATAGAATTAAGGTGGAATTCCTTAGCAGTGAATAGTTTCCTTTTAAATAATTTGAATACCATTTACTTAGAGACACATATGTTATTAATCTACCCATACTCTTTATTCTGCTACCCAAGTTAGTTTTGCACTCCTAACAGCTGTCACTGTTGACAATCCATAAAGTATTGTCTAATTGGAAATTAAGATTATTTAGAAAGATAATACCAGAAGAGTTTAGGTCGTAAAACTGATATATCATCTCCCATGAGTTCCAATCATTAACTCTACCCAGGATCCCTAGCAGTAAATTTTGTAAACTCCAAAAATATATTGGACACATATTATAAGAGTGTTATCACACAGATGATTCCAGGAGCTATAAAAGATTCCTGCTAAGAGTCTTTTATGTGAACAAAGACATTATAGCAAATTTTCAAGTTGGAAGAAAACTAATTTGTCACTTCTATTCAGAAGTGAGAACACAGTGAATATGGTAATGTTGCTCCTTGTGTATAATTTCTTTGCCTGTTTTTTTTTAAATTTACAGCTTGTGATATGAATGTTCACAAACAATGTGTAATAAATGTTCCAAGCCTCTGTGGAATGGACCATACAGAAAAAAGAGGGCGAATTTATCTGAAAGCGGAAGTCACAGGTGAAAAACTACATGTCACAGGTAAGACACAATTGCATAGCAGAATTGGCTATAACTTCCTTGTGATCAGCTCGTTTGTCTAACTTCTAGTTTTGTTTATGAATTAATATGGTTTCCAAAAGGAATACTGGGCATATTGTGTTCATTAATTTAATATTTCAAAGAGGTGGTGACAGTTAACAAATATTTGTGGAATTGACTTGAATTGAATTCACTCCAATCAAGGAAGATTCCCCCATGCCTGGAATGCACTCACTTCTCATCTCTACCTCTGGGAATCCTTAGCTCCCTTTAGGGCTCAACTCACGTGCCACCTCCTACTTCACACCTTTCCTAATACTCCCATTCGTTAGTGTCCTCTCTCCTCCTCTAAAATTACTTTACATTTACTTTCTACATATTGTGTAATCATTTTCTTACTTGTTTTCCCAACAGACTGTAGTTAATTCCTTGAAGGCAAGGACTAGGATTTTTTTTTGTCTTTGTATTCCCATGTTACGTAGTAGGTTCCTAACAGATGCTTGCTGATTTAAATTGAAAAAAGGAGAAACTGGGTGAGCCAATTGCTAAAGTACCTCCAGAGAAAACTTTTCTGAGGAAAACCTCCATGTTCTGAAAACTATGCATTCAAAATTTCAATTTAATAAACTCACATCAGTATATTCAGAAAATATACCTACAGATATACATATGTACGTAGGTATGTATGTATGTATATTCTCTAACAAATACTATCATCTTATGCGATATCATGGAGTATCTCCAACAAATGGATTGTGTAGGGTAATGGACAGAAAACTGAATCAGAGGAGATCTAGATTCTAATCCTAGCTTTCCCAGTAACAAGTTAGATGACTGGGAACATCACCTCACCACATCTTAGCTTTCTCTGCTAAAAAAAATGAGAGGTTAGAACCAAAGGAAGAACAAGATTCCTTTCAGGCCTGAAATCCTATGGGACGGTGATATGCTGATAGTAATATATAATCATAATCATAACAACATCAACAAATAGACCCGTTTTTTCATTGGTATGAGTAGCTCCTGATAGGAATCTGCAATGTTGTCTGAGAAGATTGTCCGAGGCACCAAGAGACTAAGAGATTTGACCATGGTCACACAGCCAGTATGTGTCAGAGGTAGCACTTAAAGCCAGGGTTTCCTGACTACAATTCCACCACTGTCTTTTACTCCTTACTGCCTTTACATAGATTTTTCCTTTCCATTGACAGCAGATCTCTTTTATGTTTTGGACAGCTTTTTTTTTTCTCAACACTTGTCTCATTTGCACTTTTGACTGTGTTCCCAAAGAGAGTTTGACTCTGTGGGGAGCTAAAGACATTGTTTTCATGAAATACACTCTATGCTCTACGCATATGTCCATTGAACAGTGTACTTTGGTTAACAGCTTCTTCAATATTTGAATATCTCAAAAGACCTGCAAGTGCACTGATGTGTGTGTGTGTGTGTGTTTCCTTCACTCTCAGTCCTCTCTCCATCTGAGTAGATTGTTTTAGCAGTTTCTGTGACTTAAAACCTTCACCCTCTGGCAGCCTGCCTTCTTATAATTTTCCTATCCGCGCTTACTTAGGCCTGGGCTCAGACAACCTCAAGCCCATCTTCAAAATCTCTCTACCTACGTGGACCTCCTTAGCTTGCCCTCTTCTAGCAGAGTCTTCAGAAACTCAGGGTCACATCCACATCATTATGAAGCATTGAAAGGCATATTTTGTCAACATTGCTTCCCAGCTCTGTTCCCTCAAGCATGGCTTGAGGAGAGGAAGAAATTGGGTACATCTTCATGGTGAAGCCTTACTGGGAAACAAACAACTCCCTCAACACTTGAAAGGGGTTCATAATGTGCTCACCAAGAAAGTTGGAAGGATTAACAGAAGTTTTAATTACAGAGCTTCAGATACAGTAGCTCATGTCTAGCCTGGCCTTAGCACAGAGACCCTGAATCTGATTTTCTGACCCTTGTGCTGGTTTCCCTTCCTACCTCTTTTAGTCACAGCTTTAAATGATATTCCTAGACTCCAGTTTGTACTTTAGCAACTTAGATCTTTTCAAAAGCAAATTGTGGGATAGTCACACCATTGGAGAGACAATTATCTCCTCAGGGAACAAGGTTTAAATGAAACTGGGAATGCCAAAACTCAAGATGAACATCGAGTGAAATAATTTATCTGACTTGTTCAAGTGGGCAGTATCCATGGAAACCTAAATAAAGGTCTTCTGGGTTCCAAATGTATTCTTTAGAGACAGGTGGATAGTTCATGAGGACAGCTAGGGGGTGCAGTAGATAGAGCACCAGCCCTGGAGTGGCCTGAGTTTAAAATCCAGCCTCAGACACTGATTAGCTGTGTGACCCTGAGCAAGTCACTTAACCTTGTTTGCTTCAATTTCCTCATCTATAAAATGAGCTGGAGAAGGAAATGGCAAGCCACTCTAGTGTCTTTGCCAAGGAAACCCCAAATGTCTGAGCCCAGGCCTAAGTAAGCGCAGATAGGAAAATTATGAGAAGGCAGGCTGCCAGAGGGTGAAGGTTCATTTTTTAATAATTGTTAATTCTTCTTTCCCTATTTTATTTTATTTTATTAATTTATTTTGATTTATCAACAATCACTTCCATAGGCTTTTGAGTTGAAAATTTTTCTCCCTCTTCCTCCCCTCCACCCTCCCCAAGACGGCGCACAATCTGATATAGGCTTTACATTTACATACCCATTAAACATATTTTCACATTAGTGAAGTTGTAAGTAAACATTAAAACCAATAGGAGGAACCATCAGAAAGATGAAACAAAACTCAACAGAAGGTAAAAATAAGTGAGAGTGATTCGACTTCCATAGTTCTTTCTTTAGATGTGGACAGCATTTTCCATCCCGAGGCCTCTGGATATGTCTTAGATCCTTAATGCTGAGAAGGGTTCAGTTTAACAATCTTAGTCATTGCATAATGTGGCTGTATTGTGTACAAAGTCCTCTTGGTTCTGCTCACTTCACTCAGCATCAGACCATATAAGTCTTTCCAGGTTTTTCTGAAGTCAGCCTGTTCATCATTTCTTATAGCACAATAGTATTCCATTACATTCATATACCACAACTTGCTCAGCCATTCCCCAATTGATGGGCATCCTCTCAATTTCCAATTCTTTGCCACCACAAAAAGAGCTGCTATGAATATTTTTGTACATGTGGGTCCTTTTCCCATTTGTTTGATCTCTTTGGGATATAGCCCTAGAAGTGCTATTGCTGGATCAAAGGGTATGCACATTTTTGTAGCCCTTTGGGCATAGTTCCAAATTGTTCTCCAAAATGGTTGGATCATTTCACAACTCCACCAACAATGTATTAGTGTTCCAATTTTCCCACATCTTCTCCAACATTTATCATTTTCCTGTTTTGTCATGTTGGCCAATCTGATAGGTGTGATGTGGTACCTCAGAGTTGTTTTGATTTGCATTTCTCTAATCAATAACTATTTAGAGCATTTTTTCATATGACTATAGATAGCTTTAATTTCTTCATCTGAGAACTGTCTGTTCATATCCTTTGACCATTTATCAATTGGGGAATGGCTTGTGTTCTTATAAATTTGTCTTAATTCTCTATATATTTTAGAAATGAGGCCTTTATCAGAGAGACTGGTTGTAAAAATTCTTTCCCAATTTTCTACCTTCCTTCTAATCTTAGTTGCATTGGCTTTGTTTGTGCAAAAACTTTTCAATTTAATGTAATCAAAATTATCCATTTTGCTTTTCATAATGTTCTCTATCTCCTGTTTGGTCATGAATTCTTCTGTTCTCCATAGATCTGATAGGTAAACTATTCCTTGTTCTCCCAGTTTACTTATGGTATCAGCCTTTATATCTAAGTCATGAACCCATTTTGACTTTATTTTGGTATATGGTGTGAGATTTGGGTCTATGCCTAGTTTCTGCCATACTCTTTTCCAGTTTTCCCAGCAGTTTTTTTCAAAGAGTGGGTTCTTATCCCAGAAGCTGGGGTCTTTGGGTTTATCAAATAATAGATTACTATAGTCATTGACTACTGTGTCTTATACCTATTCCACTGATTCACCTCCCTATTTCTTAGCCAGTACCAAGCAGTTTTGATGATTGCTGCTTTATATACAATTTAAGATCTGGAATTGCTAGGCCACCTTCCCCTGCATTTCTTTTCATTAGTTCCTTTGATATTCTGGACCTTTTGTTTTTCCAAATGAATCTTGTTATTATTTTTTCTAACTCTATAAAATAATTTTTTGGTAGTTTGATTGGTATGGCACTGAATAAGTAAATTAGCTTAGGTAGGATTGTCATTTTTATTATATTAGCTCGGCCTACCCATGAGCAACTGATGTTTTTCCAATTATTTAGATCTGATTTTATTTGTGTGAAAAGTGTTTTGTAATTGTGTTCATAGAGTTCCTGGGTTTGTTTTGGGAGGTAGACTCCTAAATATTTTATAATGTCTACAGTAAGTTTAAATGGGATTTCTCTTTCTATCTCTTGCTGTTGGGCTTTGTTGGTAATATATAGAAATGCTGATGATTTATGTGGGTTTATTTTATAGCCTGCAACTTTGCTAAAGTTGTTTATTATTTCAAGTAGTTTTTTACTTGATTCTCTAGGATTCTCTAAGTATATCATCATGTCATCTGCAAAGAGTGATAGCTTTGTTTCTTCTTTGCCTATTCTAATGCCTTCAATTTCTTTTTCTTCTCTTATTGCTAAAGCTAAGGTTTCCAGTACAATATTGAATAACAGTGGTGATAATGGACATCCTTGTTTCACCCCATCTTATTGGAAATGCTTCTAGCCTGTCCCCATTACATATAATGCTTGCTGAAGGTTTTAGATAGATGCTATTTATTATTTTAAGGAAGACTCCATTTATACCTATGCTTTCTAGTGTTTTTAATAGGAATGGGTGTTGTATTTTATCAAAAGCTTTTTCTGCATCTATTGAGATGATCATGTGGTTTCTGTTGGTTTTGTTGTTGATATGCTCAATGAT